ACAAGTATGGTATAGTTCAATAAGCTTTAATATTACATTTTAAATTTTTCTGATATTATGTTAAAAATGTCAGTGCAGTTAAACATGCATTAAGTTATTTACGTTTTTAACTTTACGTTTCCTTCTTCCCATAATGAGGCCTACACAAAATTAATTTTTTAAGGGTGTACCTTAAGTCTTTTGGGAAATGCTTAATTGTCCTTAATAATTCATATAAAGGTGATATCATCTATCTACTTTCAATAACTGTTGAGTCCAATACAGTTTAGCAGGCAAAAGGCAGGTAACCTGGGAAAGAACACAAGTTCTTCAAAGGGTATACACACAGCAGCAGACAATATAAAGAAAAGCACACAAACAATACACATAAACATGAATGAGAGAATCAATTGTTGAGCAAGGTTATGGCTGTAAGTATAAAAAAATAATTTAACCTGGGAACCTTGAACCCCTTCAAATTGGATCATCTTTATCTGGATTCTAAGGGTAGTACAGTAGTTGGAATTCATAAAGGGTACTCACATGCATGTATAAACTGTAGGTGACAATTTTGAAATACCAATAAACCTACAGTAGATGGCATGTTTTTGGACTGTGGATGGAAAGTATCTAACCTAATCCCAGCATATTATTATGAATGCAGATCTAATTTTAACTGCAATATTTACCTGAACAAGAATGAAATTGTGATTTCTTTATAGTCAGTATCAATATTTACCATGCTTTAAAATACTGTGTAAGTCAGCCTGAATGGCAATACATGCATCTATAAAGACTTAAGACTTGAAATTTCCAAAGTAATTTCTTTTACTGGTGTTGTGAAGTAGTGTTAATCCATCTTTATCCTGGAGTACCCTTGTGTTTTCCGTTTTTTACTTTTAAACTGCACTTTGTTAGTTTGGCTCCTGAAAATCTTAAAATGAATATTTTGCTTATAGTTTTAAAACCGTTCCAGTTCTTAAATAGCACAAGAAGGTCAGAAATTAGCCTGAAAGCTGTGCCAGGTGCTGGGATATGGCTCTCCTCTCACTTATGCTTATTGACTTGATGACTTTGTTGAGTTTTACTGATGGGACTTTGTCTGAAAATTATTCCTAAACAAACAGTTGTTTAGAAAGCTACATGTATAGGAGTGCAACAAGCTCTCTCTTATAAACCAAGTTGAAGTTTTGCTCACTACATTTTTTTGAAATGATACATGTAAAAATATAATTTGTGCTGAATGCACAAAAATAATTTTTGGTTCAATTAAGCATGCATTTAATAGGATTAACTCATTAAGAAATCAGTTGGAATGACTGTAGACACAGGGTTACTTGGGAACTAGGACTGAGCAAAACTGTTTCAATGGTTTTCATACTATAAAGGACTTCTTATGTGTTTATTGTTAAGAGGACACATTTTATATTTTGTACACTGCAAAGAATTTTTGCTTTTGAAATACATTTGCAAGAAAATGCAAATAAAACCTCTTAAAAACTGAGTACCCCAAAATATGAATGGGCTTTGGAATTTTCACTTTGCCTTATATTACATTAATATTTCAGTGAAAGCGAAATTTGACATGATATATGATTACGCACTTTGTAGTTAGGCAAGATGCTTGCTGGAGGCAAAGATCTCTGAGTGACAAATTATTCAATATACTTCTAATTATTTCTATCCTTTAGGGTATATACTGTATACACACCACAAAATGGTGATATTTGAAGTTTTCAGTGGCTTGTGCATGGGCTTTCTGAAATATATCTGCTTTTCTCTCACAGCCTTGCATAGCTTTGAAAAGTTGCGAACATGGTAAATTTAAATACCTTTTTCAAGTACTGTACCTACTGTGTAGTGTAGGAGGAATGGGAAACTGACTTTGGGCATTATTCATAAAAACACACTGAATGTCCAAACCATCTGGTTAAAACACAGTGGTGGCTTTTGTACCTCATTCATAAAACCACGGCTAGTATAAAAACGTTAATAGACATGTAGTACTGGCTCAAGTCAAGCAACAAATAAAGCACAGTATTCACATTTAAATATCAAATCTGACGATGGAGCTGATTATATGTCAGCGGAGCGGTGGCTCTGTGGCTAAGGATCTGTGCCTATGGCTGGAAGGTTGATGGTTCAAATCCTGCAGCCAGCAGAGGAATCCTACTCTGTTGGGCTCCTGAGCAAGGCCCTTAACCCCAACAACTTCAGGGGTGCTGTACAATGGCAGACCCTGTGCTCTGACCCCAGTCTCTCTCCCTGTCTGTGTGTCTTATGGAGAGCAAGCTGGGGTATGTGAAAAGATAATTCCTAATGCAAGAAATTGTAATGGCTTAATAAAGTGATGTTATATTTTATATTTATATATTATTACGAAGTACTATATGTCATGATAAACTATTTGCATTACTGCACTCTACCCACACTATCTGAATGCATTTGATATTCTTTTAGTTCTTACAGTTTTTTTTTTAGTTTTACTCTTGCATGACACTTTATTGCTTTATTGCACTTCCAGCTTTATTGTGCTGGCTTCCTTGTTATTTTAGTCAGTTATTTTATTCTACTTGCATATGCAACGTATACAATGTAGGCCATGTACACTTCATATTACTATAAGTCAAAGTTTACCTGGATAAGGATGTCTAATAATAATGTAACAGAGTTGCTATCTCTCTGAGTTGTTTTTGTCAGTGTAAGCGACTGAAGGGTATCTTAAGGACGATTTAGAGAGAAAATAAGGCAAGCATTCACACACAAGTGCAACAGAAGAATCTCATGCATCTGGTTCCAAATGTCTATTTTTTATAAGTCTAAGAACAGTCTAGTCAGTTTCGTTTTTAAGAGTCAGCACTTTGAGTTCTGAAGGTTCAGTGCACACCTGTTGACTTAAGAATTACTTGACCTACAGAAGACAGTTAAATAGTTTTGATATTTCCCAGCAGATAGAGAATCATTTTATGTAAATATATCTAATGAGAGAAACATGGTTCACTCTCCACACAAATGCATTTAGCGACTGCTGGTGTGCTCACTCTGAGTTCTCAGTGTCTTTAGTGTAACTGTTATGGAAGCCAGGTAGGTCTCCCGTGGAGGGTGGTGTTAAGGTCTCTATGCAAGGCTGCGAATCCGGAAACAGGACCACAGACAGGGTTCAGGGAAGACACACAGGGTTTATTGTGAAGGCAGTGAGGGGTTACAGTTCATGATCTGGTGCACAGGGGAAAGCAGCCTTAGGCATCCAAGTCCAGGCAGGTAGTCAGGGGGTAGTCCAAGATCCGAAAAGCCAGGTAATCCGACTGAGATAAAATCCCCGGAATGGGGGGAAGCAGGACACAGACACGTTGTCACGGAACAGGAACGGGACTGGGGACGCCGAGTCCAGGACTCCGTGGCCAGGATGCCGTGTTGAAGCCTGGACCCGCTGGCACCCAGGCATCCGTCTTCCAAATGCTGAGCCCCAAAACACCCGAGGCTCAGCGTTAAATAATAGCACGAAAACAAGACATAGTGTACCAGATAATATATTATATATATAATATATATAATATATATAATATAAAAGTCCGAAGGCTAGCCAATTAGAGCATCAACTAGGGGAGGGATGCCCACCGTGACAGGAACAAAGATCTTGCTTTTGTATGGGAAGCTAAGGATACCTTGACTCAAAAGTGTGCACAGTCAGACGTGCATTGTCACTGTGGAAATGTCAGTTCCAATCACTAAGTAATGAAGCCCAGACTTGCATTACAGATTTGGGGACTATATAATATCTCTGAAACGTATGCAAACAGAACTTTACTAAATAGAATTCAGATATTTAACCTCACATACAGCCTCTGGGCAGAGTTCAAAATGTATGGACTCGATGGCATTATCCACAAGTCACAGTCATGTGGCACATGAAAAGTTACTTTTGAGCTGAATAAAACACTGATGAAAGATAACGCAATTTTAAACTTTTATGTAATGTAGTCATCTATATTTGATATGAAAATGTGGGTGCCTTACCATTTGCTCATTTGTTAGGTTAGTAATTAACAGAAACTAACATTACACTATTACTTAAAAAAAAAACTTCTGACCGCTTGGATGGGAAGCCTGCTGTATTAGGGAATTTTCAAATCTCTGCCCTAAAGATTTCCACTTTAGTTTCAAATTGTTGTCCTGTGGTTTTATTTACAATAGGTAATGAAATACTTCCCTGAGCCATACCCCTTAGGATCTTAAATACATCAGTCTAATCTTCGGTTACTACTTGATCGTTGTGTCTTCCCTTACACATCATGCAATGTTATAGTACAGCATTTCAGGACATACTGTAATAAATGTCTCCACCTACTGGATAGCAAATGTAGGTGCAAGGTTCATACAGTATAAACACCTACTGTAAAGATTGAGAAGCAGGCACTTTTTAAGCCTTTATTGTTTTTTTATTGTACTATCATATACACTACAACCATCAATTAACCGGACATAGAATACAAAAAATATTCAACCATGTTTTCTTAGTCTTGTACACAAAGGCTTTCTGATCTGAATTGGGTACAGTATATGCATTGAGAAACATCATATTTATCCGTTAGATTTTTTTCACATACTGTACTGTATTAGAAGACATTAAAAATACTTTTAAAGCTCAAGTCACAACCTTTAAAGCAAGGGTATGATTGATAGATATTTTTATTTGTTATTTAAACATTTGTTTATTTTTCTGATGATTAGTAAATTTGAATTGTTTGCTTTATTTCTATGAAACAATGTTAACTTTAAATCTCATACTTTGATGCAGAGAATTTTGAAAGGATAGTGGTAAAGATTTCAGTACATTTATATATTTTCTGTGTTAAAGATTTCATTAAATTTAAATATTTTCTTTTATTAATTAGTTTCTTCTTACATAGTTGTGGGCAAAAATCAATATTCTGATCTTTGTGATAACGCTACCCAAAATGTTGGTCTGCCATCACTGTGTGCAAACCTAATTTACACCAACTCAATCTTGTCTTTTACAGAATGTCTACAAACCCTGGCTGTGTTCCCAGTATTTTGAGACCACACAGATCCACTGCAGTAACAGAATCCCTTGCAAGCAATACTGTTTGGAAGTCCAGACGAGGTGTCCATTTATATTGCCAGACAATGATGATCTTATCTATGGAGGAATGCCAAGTTTTATATGTACAGGTAAACTACTAGGCTTGCCACAATCCACATTCCTGGATATTCATTCATTGGGGATACAGTAACAATACTAACATGTGCAGGTAGAGACTGTGGTGGATGTACATAAACTTGCTGTAAACTCAAGGTACCTTTGTGACTCCAGCAGCTGTTACAGTTTTCAGTCAAGGATTGGTATCATGGCATCTCCTTTGATTAGAAGGTGCACTGTACTGCATCCAAGGCCTTAGCTGCCCAATTCTGATTGATTTGATAACATTGGAATGTCCCAAAATGATGTATAACAAATATATTATTGATTATTGATTGAAAAACAAGACTACTCTCGGTCCTCAGGCTCTTCTGTGAAATGCAGTTTAAATAGCCACAATCAATAAAAAACATAAAAAACAAAAACAAGGAGTACATGTACAGTAGATCCCACAGAGCTCAGTAGCTGCTGATGGATGAACATTTTTGAAGAATTAAAAGAATTATCCTGCATATAGTCAACCTGAATTCCATGTACAGCATTGTACAGTAATACAGTTTACAGTATACGGTAAGATTTTATTTATCCATTTTCTTTTTCAACTTTTGTTTCTCTCTGTAACTAGCACTGGCTATGCCTAGCATGCCAAGCAAATGTGGCATACAGTAAGTCTGTAATAAAAACAAAAACATACAGTAGGTACTATTGGTGTTGTTCACCTTATTTGTCACAGGAAAGATAACTCTCGTGTTACACTCCAAGTGGAGAAAAAGATGAATACTTATTTCTCAAAATGTCCTGGTTTTGATACAGTATCTCCAAAAATGACCTATTACGGTATTACTATCCATTATTTTGTAGACTGAGGATTACTGGATATGTTATATACTTTTATTTGATAGCCTTCTTGTCTGTTTTGTTTGCATCACAGGGCTTTTAGAAAATCATCCGACAAATGCAGAACCAGAGTGCTGTGATGTCAGATGGGACTTTATACCAGATAACCAATCCAAAGGGACAATAAAAAGAACTGACCCCATCTTGTGTCATCATAGGACATCACTTGCAACCTCTGCAGCTTCTAGACTGTGTAACAGCAGGCTTAAACTTTGCATTTTAGTTCTAATTCTTTTGCATACAGTTGTCAGTTTGACTGCAGCACAGAACTGTACGGGATTCAGTTTTGGGGAAATATTTACACTAGAGGAGAACTCAACCAATGAAGAATAATGGAGTTATCCATGTAATCACTGGATTGGCACTTTCGACGCTCACTGCTGCCTGCCACAATGGCTGTAACGGAGACTAGGCCTTTGGGCAACTTCATCAAAGCCTTCTGGGTGCAGGATGGAAAAAGGTGGGCCCACATTTACCAGACTACTAGGACAAACAATCAAAATTAACAGGAACCGGAAAACACCACAGCCTTTATTGACAGAAAGGCTACCTTAGAACTGAATTTTCTCACACCATTTTATACACTGTGTTTTAATGTTTGGATTTCTTTTGCACTAGGTTACTACAGGATTTTATTTATTTATGTATTTATTTATTGGGGGTGTGGGGGGGGGGGGGGGAGGGAGGGGGAAATTGTTCCTCAAAAGCAAAACCGAGTCTTTACAATGTCTGTACTTGTCACTGTGTGTGTGTGTCATCCAAGAGTTTCTATCTTTTGTAGTCCTGCAGATTTCTAAACTTGCAAAAACACAAAACCTGCTGCTGATGCTTTTACAGCATGGCATAGTAGAAAGCTTGCAAATCTTCATGTGAACACGCACACATGCACATAGAAAAATGATTTGTCATATCTTTAGTACAAAAAAAGGGAAAAAAGAATAAAAATAGCAGATGAGTCCACAGTAACATGCACAAATGTGTGCCTCAACAACTGTTGCATGAATCAGCAAAGCTGAGCAACTCCTAAAAAGGCATGGGACTCCTTAGGTCTGAATGTGAAACATAAGAGAAAACCTCTTCTGAGCCTCAAATGGTGGATTTGGTCAAACAAAATCATTTGTATGACAAACTGTAACACCCAGGGTCTCATTCTGTAGAATTCCAGTCATTTTCATTTTGGTCAGTTGAACAGTTCAGCAGGTGCTCAAAATGATTATTTTACTTTTGACTGTTTTTGCTTTGATATTTGCTATTTCATTTCAGTCACTGCTGCATTTCTTGCACAGGTTCTGTGTCAAAAGTTTTTTATATATTTTAAAGCATGCAGTATCAAAATTTACAATGAGAAATTCATATCTTCGGCAAGTTTGATTTTTTTTTTACGAAAAGGAAATTAGGACCTTTCTCCTGATGAAAATAACCAGAATCCATGTTTAGAATAGCTCTTCCAGAGATAATTCACAGCATTTAGAACTTCAAAATCATGGTAATGTTAATGTTACAGTAATTGTGTTTAGGAAACAATCTGTTAAGCTGAAAATTTTCAATAAATAAATGACCTTGCAGCACCTAATGCAACTATAACTTTCAAAGGAGTCTGATTGAGAGCTTTTGGATTGTGTGGGGAATAAAGACTAAAACCTACTGTATCATTATCTTAAGACTCCACAGAGGATAATCATAAGAAAAACTGGTTAAATATTAGATCTAGAGTATTACATTTTTTTAAAATAAAGATCTGTTCAGGCTAAGAGTTATCATTTACCGCAGTATACTGAAACTGTTGGTATTTCATAGAAAATCCCTAGAATTTAATTAAAAAGCCTCATCTTTGATATTATTTGTATTTTTTTTATATTTTTAGCAGACGTACAGTATGTAAATAATAATTATATTTAATAAAATGCAGAATGTTATTTATTTTTACAATGCATTTTATTCTGTATTCACCACAAAACTATTAATGGTCGCCAGTGAATTTCATCTGAGAATATTCTTGGTATGCAAACATGGATTAACTGGACTGAACAATATAAACAAGAACAGCAAGATATAACATTCATTCATTGGTTGAGGGGAGGATTGATAATAGTATAGGGTGCTACATTGCAATGATTGGCTTATAAAAAAATGAAAGGCAATGAACTACAAAGATAAAATTGCAGCCTAACGTTATGTGTGTTCAGTATTTTAATACAGGACAGATGTTTGAGTTATGTCCTTTATTTATTAAGAATTCAGAGTGTTATTCAATTGTATGTACTGTACTGTAGCTTGTATTGACTAAAGGGCTTACAACCTATATGTTTACCCTAAAGGACTGCATTTTGCTAAAGCGGAGACATGCACAGGACATCAATTCCAAAGAATGAGAGCTAAATTTTACAAGTGAAAAAATATATCATAAGGGTCAATGTTTATATTCAGCGTACCTTTCAAATACTATAGAATAATGTGAGTCACAAAATATGTATTTCCCAATTACAATATTTATAATCAAGTAAATATTGAAACTGCATGCTAAAAAGTGTGTTAGCCACAGTATTATTTTGAGCAATATCCTGCTTTCAAAATAAAACTTTGAAAATAAGACATTAGACATAACCTATCAGTGCTGAAGATACATCTTCCATGGCTATAGCAATGTGTACAGATATAATACAAAGCTGCTCACAGTGTTTCAAGAGTCTGAAATTAAAGGGAAGGAAGATTTATAAGGGCTGATTTTAAACTACACATTCCTTCCGTTTTTATCAGTGTACTGTTATTCCCAAGCAGATACAGCAACATAAAGCTATAAAATAAATTTATTGGGTAGCAGAAGAGCACACATAAGCATTTAATTTTCTAGTGCACAGAAATATAATCTGCTTCATTATTATAAATAAAAATAAGCACAGGAATGAAAAAGGATAATCTGTTATTGGTACAATTTTAGCACCAAGCTAAAATTCTGCTTGGAGTGTTTAATACTGATGTTGATCATCTGTCTTGACAGGCAATTTTCATCACTTTTCCATCTGAAAATAGTCGGATATTTAAATTTATTTGGAAATTATCCAATCCTTTAAATATTGCTGTAAAGTGTAATCAATGATGGTGAGATATGAAAGATAATGAATCAATAACTAAATAAAATAAGACAGTAAACAACACAGTGAAGTGTTTAGTAAAAAAAAAAACAATTGATTTTTGCTCTTTGGAAAGAGCCTGTTAAAAACAGACACTAGGAAATTAGACCATAATATTTTTAGGATAAACAGTCATTCAGTCATTGATTTCTATTCAAATACATTTTATAATGGTTTGACCATTACAACGTTATTTAATGTTTCTCTCTGTTTTATGATTATGATGCATAAAATATGTCTCTTCTTGATAAACCCATATATAAATGCTTTGGCGTGTTTTATGAAGTATGTTTACATTTGTATATGTGGTGCTGTTCTTACTATAATGTAGTATACTGTATGTGGATGAGTAATAAACTGAAAAGCCTTAAAAATGAATGAATGTAGGAATGTACAGCAAGAATGAAAAAGGAGCAATACTTGTATGTCTTTCACATTTTTGTAGCTGAATTATAAATAATGCTGTAGCAATTCAAATCAAGTACTCGTTCAACTGACCAACATGTCCAACTCATCCTCATCTTCAAACAGTTTGTTATAGCTTTTATCTACCTCTGCTGGGCAAAGGCCATTTTGAATATACAGTATGACTATCTGTATTTATTTCTTTGTAATAGCATATTTGGCTATTTGTAACTGAATCCACTGTTGATGAAAGGGGCCAGAATAACTATGTAATTCCATAGTAAACAAAATGAGCCACTGCCATTTTCCAATTGTAACTCCAAAGTCGGAACTACTAAAGGATTTAGACTACAATGGATTAAGTCACAAAGGAATTGTTCCAACCAATATATTACCATTTAACATACTGTACACTAAAGTAAGCCTAGATTGTCTTGAAATTCATTTGGTATTTGTATTTTGTGATATTTAATTTGTTGAAGTACCATCCATTGCATTTGTTTAGGTGTACATCTTTACTCTTGCCCTGTAATCCACAGTGGTATGATGTATTTCAAACTGATGTATTCAAAATCAGAAGCTGATGTGGTATAAAGGATAGTGAGATTGTAAATCTGAATTCTGTGAAAGGTATGGTATTGAACAGTTGCCTACAGAAAAGCAGTAAAAAAACTTTGGAAGATTAAACATAATTTGTGGTTCACTCCACTAAACTGCTAAAATTTCATGGCCTGCTTAATATTTAAGTACAGCAAACATCGACAAATGAGAATCTATAAGTACAATAGAATAAGATGCTATTTTATATAAAATTATAATAAAGTAGTACAGGTTAAGAAACTATTTTTGAAAAATATTGTATTTTAATAGTGCTCCATTAGTCCACAATCATTTTTAATTAAAGCCATCATAATCTGTTCTGTAAACTTTTTATGGAAATATGAACATAAAAATATCATCATCCAGTTTTATATCATGCAAAGATGTATAGTAATTTTGAAGGATCTATTATAAAAGTTTTATCCCTCTTAAAAGATGGAGTCTTAAGTTGCTATATAAGTCATATAACTAAGAACTCATAAAGAATTAATTAAAACATTCACCAGCCAAGGTGTACCCTGTTATTGACCTCTAAATGTAAAAGAGTTGGTTTCCCCTCTTTTTCTTAAACAATGAGAGAAACAATATTTTATTCTTAAGCTGCCACATATTTAATACAGCATCTAGAAAGTATGAATTTCTTTTATTTCTGCAAGTTTAGTTTACCCAAAAACATTCAGTATCTTGGCAATCTCTGCCCTTCATGTTCTTTTGTGCACCCAAAGATGGATTCACTGGCATAATGTCTCTGTATTTCCATGTTGTCGATAGAGTTTTGCCACATACAGAACTTAGGGGATAGTCAATGTACTATACTGGGGTTTACTTTACCATACTCCTTGTCAAAGCACTTGGGTTCTCTACTTATACATGGTGTGGAGAGTAGAACACTTCACTACTACAGTGCCTATTTACTGTATACAGTATAAATGCAGTATATAATGCGGTGAAAAAGTAAGTGCGCCCCATTATGATTTTATGGTTTAACATATTTAGATATTTAACATATTTGACCTTTACCTAGTCCCTGCCAAGTCCTAATAGTAAATAAAACTAACCTCATATAACTTACAAATAACTCACAAAACTTCTACTTTGTCATTATTTATTTTAAAAGCTGTTGTAATTATACACAGCATATCACATTAGTTCATATAAATTGTGTAATATTTTGGCTGGTGAATGTATAAGAGATTATATTAACATGGTACTGTATATGCAAGGTAAGAAACTTAGATTGAAAAGTAAATCCTAAAGATTATCCTACATTTGATAACCATGTACTTAATACTCGATTATACATTCAGACCCTCACACGCTTTAATATTATACAGGGCTTTGTTAACAAGCATGTTAGTTATTCAATGCTGTACAAAAAAGTAGCCATTAATTTTCTATTACTATTCTAAGAAAGCACTGCAACTTACAGAAAATGTATAAGTGGTCATCTGCAACCCATACACTTCATTGTTACTCATATTGTTTGTACTGTACTGTATGTAACCCTTGAACTGTCCTCATGGGTATACAGATATACATCAGTGGACTAAATTTGTCAAAACAACAGTTTCACATATACAGTAATAATGACACTGTACTGCAAAGGTTTCTCAACTACCCAGACAGACAAAGGGTTAAGTTGCTCATTTTTAATCTTGACTTTTAGAAAGTCAAGATTTACTATTAACATTAATTTTATTACTTTAAATGGAGAACTAAAAAGACTGAAAGGAAATGAGTTCTCGCCATCTTTGGCTGACACTATAGTTGAGAGCTTTTGATTAGGAATGCCACCTCTATGGCACAACATGTTATACCAGAAACAAAACTATGAAGATACTTTCAAAAAAGGAATTGTTGCATTTCAAAATGTATTAAAACTCTGCATTTATACAGTTATTAGTATTTTACTGCAAAAAAACAAAACAAAAAAAAAGATACTATGCTTGTCTGTTGCAGAAATACTGAATCTTAATCAGGTAACACTATTACTGTATGTACCTGGAATGCATGTTCTTGTCCTGTATAGGTGGCAGACCTGTATTTGAATGTTTTTCAAACCTATAATTGTGACTTTTCCAAAAAATGTGTTACTATAGGTAATATTGTTTGTCTTTTGTTCTGTTTCACATTGGTTCTCAAATAGTTGCTTTAAAACATGTTACCAGAAAGCCATTTTGTTAAAACTACTTCTTTTATGGTTAGAAATTGCCAATAATGTTTATGTATGCATACATATTTTATAAAACACATTTCTGTATGATTTAATTTATCTCCAGCATGGAAATAAGAAACATACAGATTAATTAAATTTAATCATTAACTTTCAGCTTCTAAATGTAATGGTTTTCTTTCAATTTAATGCCTTTATGTAGGTCATACTGTAAATGAAAATTGGTCTTAATTTGCTGTATGACCTACCGTATGGCATAACTATTTACAACAGTACAATACAAAAACTTCACTTTGAATAATAGCCCATGAAAGAGTGCAAGTAATGTAAAATACCACTAGTCTGTATCAAGGCACAACAAAATTAAAAAATAACTGTGAATGAATTGATTTGGTCAAATACACAAAATATTATTACAAGAAGTTAAGTACATGGATCTGTTACTAAAGTTACCACCATGTTTGTGAAATTTAATTGATAACTTTATTACAAAAAGTTATATTTTTCAGG